TTTTATCCAAAAGGAAAGGTGAAAAAGCATAAGAAAGACCTTTGAGATTATTTCTTGAGTTCGGGGGATAGATTATGAAAAGGGAAGGTATTAGCACCCTTTTCATCCATGGTTTTCCATGGGCTCTTAGTTACTTTCTAAATCACTTGCTTTTTGTTTGAAAATGTGCTTTGTGTGGTTTTTGAAAGTATTTTGTAAAGAGGCCATTGTTTAGGCAATCTTTGTAATGATTCTCGTTCGTAAGAATGTATACAAAGACGTTGATCTTTTAAAAATGTTTTCAAGTTTGTAAGATGTTTTGAAAGTGTATGTGATTTGTTTTAAAACAGCAAGGATGTTTGTTTGAAATTGAGCAAGTAATTAGGAGCAATCTACCTACTGAAGTGTCTTTCTTGCTCATTTTCTTTTCCCATGACATTGTTGTCTTACCATTAATTTGGTAAGCAACCCTATCTTTGGATGTAAATGGGACGGGCGCGGGTCATCGTATAATCATGATTAGTAATGTTGCAAGGTATCTTAGCATTCTTTTTTAGGGACTAAGATCATTTGTAAGGCAACTTAGATAGCGTCATCGAGGGATTATGATCTTGTATTTGCTTGTCTTTACTAAGATACCTCGCATGCATAATATGGTCATTTTGTATAAGGCAACCAAGTGGAATAACCCTAGGGGTGCTTGTATGCAAATGTGTTGTTTTCATGCTTGTTTTTGTCTTGAATTAAGGTTTTGCTAAGTATTGATTTTAGTCTTTCCATACAAACCCTAATTCCTAACATGTTATATATAAAGCGATAAATTGCGATATTTAAAGTTACTACGCTATTACAATACTTGTGGAAGGGGGTGTACAAAGTATAAATGGGGATTGCAAATTAAATCCTAAATTACTATTACAACCACATTGAATGGATAAGAATGTACAAGAAATGTAAAATGGACTTGTTTCGTTTAAAAAAAGAAATAAGTTTGGTTTAAGAAAATATTTTGATCTTTTATGTTAAAATAAATAAAATAAGATATGTGAATATGAAATATTTTTGGTGTTTTTTTTATTAATGAAAATAAAAGTGCTGGCAAAAAAATAGTAAGGAGAAAGAAGACAGAATCAGCACAAATGTTGAGATAAAAGAGGTCAGAAGTTCTGACTCTGGCGTGCTGCACAAACAGAAATAAATGTTAATAGAAATAGGGAAGGTCAGAAGTTCTGGGTCCACTGAGAATGAAGAAGATTTCAGAAGATCTGATGCCGCTGGCAGAACTTTGCCTCCCTTTCCATACCAGTTAGAGCATCTGCAACTTAGTCATTTCTCAATAAAACAGAAGATACGCGTATAAAAATTATGGCAGATTTCGTAATGTTTCAGAAGAAAAAGATATCAGAACTATAAGTCAGAAGCAAGCATGAATTTGCTAATCCTAATTCTGAGTCTTAATTTCTTCAAGAAGTTCTGAACTGAAATTCTCTCCACTTAGGCAGGCAAATACATGAAACTTCAAAATATATATAACATCAGAATCATGATGTCTACATTATATTTTGAACATGCAAGTCTAACAATGCTTAAGTAATATGGCAAGAATCAGCAGAAGCTTACCTTGCCGCTGGAAAATGTTCTGTGAGCTGGAGCCTGGATCTGACCGCTTGTGATGTTCTGACCAGCTTCCTCGCGTGCTCATCAGGCTGGAAACTTTCAACTTAGGCTATGAATGATTGGAAAATTCTAGAACAGCCAAGGAGCAAAGTTCTGACTTCTTTGAGGTGGATATTGATGGATAGTGTGTTATAGTTTGACTACAAAAGTTAGGATGGCTTTTAAATGTATATCAGAAACTGTATGGGTGGTTTTGGTCAAGAAACACTTGAGGAAAAATGGAGTTTGAATGTGAGAATCAAAAGCTAACAGGTTTTGTATTTTGTGTTTGCAGTTTTTGGACTCTTAGAGTTTTAGCAGGGGTTCAAGGCTTTTCTTTCTCAAATTTTTGACCCTTTTACAGTTGCCAATAAAGTCTAATTTATAGGCAAAGGTTTAGTAGTTTGGAGAGGTCAAGTGTCACCAACATCATATACTAGGCGCTGACTTGTTCTTGAAGTCAGTTCAAATAGGTATGGTGGTTAGCAGTTTGGCTGCGCCTAAGCTAGGCTTGTAAGCGGGAATTAAGGAAAGGTAACCTCAAAAGCAAAAGCAACGCATGGGCCCAACACACTTTTATGCAAAAGTTTGCTTTTCCAAGACAGTAAAGGTACACGTGGGGGGGATCCTTTGGATAAAGACTCAAAATTGGTTGTGAGCATTAAATAATGATGAGATTTATCAAACTAGAAATCCTGCAATGTGAGATTCTGCATCATTGCTTAATTCTGGATCAGAAGTTCAACTTCAGCGTAACTTAGAATAGACATCCAACTTCTGATCTTTATATCTTCTTGCTCCAGCATGTTCTGAAGGAGTTCTCAGACTTTCCAGGAAGCTTACAACACGCTTTGCAAATCCTCTTTGAATTACCCTTGCAAACTCTGACTGAATCTTTGTGAAAACTGGCCCATAAGTTGTAACCAAACTCTGTCTTGGAACTGTCCAGAATTTACTGAGTGCCTCAGTTTCAAGGACATGTCTTTGAGGAGTTATAACTTGAAATCTCAACATTCCTAGGTGATGTTCTGTTCTGTAATGTTTCAGATCTTGTGGGAGTTTATAACTCTTGTGTTAGAAGTTCTTCCAGAATCAGCTTGCATCGTGGTGATAATCTGATCAGAAGTTCTGAGCTCATCATATTTCTTAAACACTTAGAAAAATTCTAAGTATTTATAAATTTGACTTTTCCAAAGTAACTTTGACCTTTGAATTTCTAGATGAAACAAACTTCACATCTCAACATGTCTTGATGAAATATGACTCTTGAAACTTGATTTTGATCCAAAAAGTCAAAGTTTGACTTTTTCAGTATGCAAATGACCATTTGGCCCTTGTGAATGACTTTCTTGAAAAATTTGTAATTTGAGGCTTGGATTTGGATGGAAGCAAACCTGAGGGTCCAGGGTGATCCTTTGAGAAATGAGAGGACAAATTTTGGGGTACAACAATCAACATCTTTGTTTCTTCTCCTTTTTTGCCTCCTTGGTGCTCTTCTGGAAGGCGGTGGCAATATGTCGTGGTATGGGGTCTCTTCCCATAAGTTTTCACTATTTGTTGGATATATGAGTGGTGTATAGCAAGTTAGGTAAATCTCCTTCCTATATAAGGGAAGAATGTAATATTTTGGATCTTCAACTTTACTTTGGATACATATAATTGCATGGTAGCATAGAATTCCAGTGAATATCCATTTCTTTCAAGAACACTGGATCTGCTTGAGATCAATTGTGAATTTATCTTCGGTCACATTTATGTGCCTTACTTCACAAATCATCTCACTAGATAACCTTGTTAACAAATAAAATGCAATGAGTTAATTGCTAATACTAAAATAGATGGGTAGTTTGCAATTGTTTATTTAAACTCCTCCCTTGTTGAGAACACGATACATAATTCTCATTTATAGTCAGCAAACTTCTCAGGCATTACAAATGATGGGTATTTTACCTTTGTATCCTTATTTGAATAATCGTTACACATATCCACACCAGTTTCTAACTCTTCATATATATAATCTGAATCTGACAAACCCTTATCTACCATTTTAGCTTTATTTCTTTTGGAAAACCCAAAATCAAGTGTACCTTCCTCACTTGATGGTTTAGTTGGTTGGATTTCAGTTTGGACAGTTTATGGTTCAACTACTTCTATTACATCAGGTTCAGAAATATGGTAGACTATATATAGGTCTACCTTTCCATTAGTCTAGGACCAATTTAGCGGTTCTATTGCACTAAAGTCATTTTCTAGCGACTTTAATGTACCAGCAAAATAGTACCATATTTCAAGTACCTCTGGATATCTCATTTCCTTAACAACATCCAAAATTTCAAAATAACTCCATCTATCACCATCACACTCAAATTTGACACTTCTCCTCTAACATATGTACCCTTATCATCAAATTGTCCCTGGTGATGGAAGTCAACATAATAATATCTATTTTTTGTCATGCTTACATCAACAACAATCTCATTACTCTACAAAAAGCAACATTACATTATGTTACACTACCCTACCACTACTCTAACAAGCAAAGAGACGCGTGCTTTTGGAGAATAAAGATATAAGAGACCATAGATAAAACCCTAGACATAAAACAAGCAACATTGCATTATACTACATTACCCTACTATTATATACAATCTGAACACTTACCTACAATCCCTAAATGAGAGCCACAAAACTAGGGAAAACGAAACATACCTAAATCGTTTGAATCCTTCGCTTGTTTGTTATTCTCCGTCGTTCAATCAAACATACTAGCATTGTGAACCCTTCAAGTCATTCTTCTCATTTCTTCGTTCGTACTTGCATAGCTCTCCTCCTTCGTGCATGAGTTTCTCTCCTTTCTTTTGCGTTTGTGTTTGTTTAGAGATTTATGCGTCTTCCATTTCTCAGTTTGGGATTTAAGAGTTTTCGCATTCGCCTCTGATTACTAATTTATTTTAAAATTCCATGTCATCATTGTTTCTGACACCTCACTCACGTTTATGCCACATATTCATTTTTTAAACAAAATTTATTAAAAAAATTAACGATACACACATTTAATAATTTTAAGGACCATATTATTATAAAAAAAAACTTGAAAGATCAATCTATTATTCAAAAATATCTGATGTAATTTTTACCTTTTAAAAAAAATAATTCACAAAAAATATTATGGTAAAAACACGACTACATGGTTTGTCAGGTCAAAAAAATTGGGGTGGCCGGAGTGCAGGACAAAATCTCCAAAATGAGGGTAAAGCATGACCCAACATTAAGAAACGAATAAGCCCAAATAGGTCCAGAACCTAAAACCTCTAATCTCAAAACCCCATTTCTGCCTTGCAACAATACGAACAGAGTAAACAATCATGGCGCAATGGTGGCGCTCCGCCGCCGGTCATCTCCGATCAGCGGAAGCAAAACGCACACCCTCCTTATCGTCATTCCGTTGTAGTCACTACCACACAATCCAAGCAATCCCGAGAGAAAGCACTGGCAGTAAAGTCGCAGCGAGAGACAGAATGCAAGGTCGAATACCGGCCGTCGTTTTCTTCCAGAACCTTCTTGACAAAACCCCCGACTCACGATCTACGTCAAGGAAACATCTACTAACCGTCGAGAAGAAGCAGATTAAGGCAGTGCTCAATTCCATTGAAGACCCGTTCTTCTGTTCCACCCGGTTTCCGCTCCAGATTCGTGCCGGATCCGGATCCACTCATTTACTCGAAAGCGGAACTGTATTACCGATCAAGGTTTTGTTTTTGTGTATATTGTATATTTTTTTGTTTGAATTTTGGAAATTATGGTTTTTGATTTTGTGTGTTTGGGGTGTGTAGATTCATAAGGATAAAGAGAGTGGGAATATTTTGAACTTGGTGTTTGTTTGGGCTGAAGATGGCACGAATTTGAAGGTTGATGTTCCTGTTGTTTTCAAAGGTGAAGATGCTTGCCCCGGTCTTCAGAAAGGTAACTCCGTTTTTCTGAAGCTCTCAAACTATCAATAGTAATAATCATGATGTGTATGCTTCATTTAAATATTGCTGAGCAGTGTGATTCTGGCTTTGCCTAATATATTTGGTTTAAGTTTGTATGAAATGTATCTTGCACATTTGCTTTCATTTCTTATATTATTTTTCCACAGTTATCAACCCCAGATATGCGCAGTGGCTGAACCCTAAACCTCTTTAGCAGGATCGCCACTGTGCTGAAATCCGAATGTTGGCATGTGAAGACATCTTTTCAGATAGAAAATTTGCCTTTGAGGTTACTGCCTCGTTGACATTCTAAAGGGTTCATTTATTGCCTCTCAAGGAAGATAAAGAGCACCTCTTACCTTTGTTTGGATTAAAAATCCATTGAACCCACTGCTTGCCATTCTAGTTTTGGACAAACCCTTTTTCCTTCCAGGTCTCGTCCCTGCACAGAGTGATGCTATTCCCTCAATTCCTCTTTTTGTTAATACTCCTCACTGGTCAGCATTTATGGCATTATCTAATTTGCCACATGGTATAGCTCCACAGACCTAAAGCACTTCCGTGTTATTCTCCTCTCTTCTTCTGTGTTGGTAAAACCTAACTGGGATCATTGGCATGTCATAGTTGTGGAATAGGTTTGAAAGATATTATTGATTGCTTGTCCTGAAAAGAGTGTATCTTGTCTCAATTTTTACCTTTTTTTTTCTTGCCCTCAAAAGAACTATGAAACAGCATTACATTTAACTCACTGTTTAATTCAAGAAGTTTTGGAACTCAGGAAAATCAATGATAAAAATTTCAATTAAGAAAACAAGAAAAAAATTCAAAAAAGCAACTAAAGAAAGAAATGGTTAATAATTACAATATCTTTCTAGGTGTTTACTAACAATGTATATTGATATTTTGACTGTGCTTGTTATATGCCTTAGCGTATGTTTGGATTGGTGGTATGGTATGGTATGGGATGGAATGGAATGGAGTGGTAACTAATGAGATTTCATTGTTCGGATTTATAAGTAATGGATGGAATGGAATGGAACATGATGGAATCCATTCCATCAAATTCCCCATTTTTTGTTCCATCCAATTTGAGATCTATGTGATGGAATGAAATATTTTTAATAAAATAACCAAACAATGGAGTGGTATCTATATTCCATTATGCTCTGCTCCGCTGTGTTCCATTCCGCTCCGTTATGTTTCATCAATCCAAACATAGCCTTAGTTAGGAGGACTACTCCGTTATGTTTCATCAATCCAAACATAGCCTTAGTTAGGAGGACTGCCGTTAGTTAGGCTGGGTCAATTGACTTATATATGCTATGATAAAATGTGCTGATTGTCTTAAAATATCAACATTCATAATTCAAGCCACATGATTTTATTTGAGTGCATACAAATTTTATATGTCACTATTACAGGTGGTATTTTGAATAAGATCAGACCTAGTCTTACATATCTTTGTCCTTCTGAGCACATTCCTTCAAAAATTGAGGTGGATATCAGCAATTTAGATATTGAAGATAGAATATTCATGCGAGATATTGAAGTTCATCCATCTTTGAAGCTTCTGAGTAAGAATGAAAACATGCCCATATGTAAAATAGTTTCAACAAGTGTGGGAAACCAAGAACCATTTGTTGAAAGTGCATCTGATGAAAGAAATGCAGAGACTTCCAAATAAACAGACGGTTAACTCCCAGATTTGAAGGTATATTGGCAGTGATGACGAGTACAAACACATGAGATGTTGGAATTGTTTTGTATTGGACTATTTTGGTGCATGAATATGTAGGTGGCTATTGATTTATAATGGATTGATCTGTCCATTCAAAATCTTTGATGGCATAGAGTTGTTGGTCACTTTGTCGTTTAATCTCTATTCAGAAAATAGTGTATTTTTATTTTCTGATGGTTTTGGCATGTTATGTTTGAAGGGTTAAAAACATGAATAAAATTTAACTATAGATTAATGATGTAGAAAATGTTATATTTCTAAGGACTGATTGTGGATTTAAATACTATTTTTATTTAGGGTTAAATATATTTTTGGTCTTTATAAATATTTCAAATTTTATTTTTAGTCTCTATTAAAAAAATAATATATTTTGATACTTAAAAAAATTTTATTCATGCAACTTTAGTCTTTGTTATTTTCTAAAATTTTGAAAATTGTTTAATTACCTTTAAACTTTTAAATTTTTGAATAATTGTTTTATAATATTATAAAATATTTCTTTACTAAATTTTTAAAATGAGATGGATTAAATATAAATTTTTAAAATTTAAAAAGATATTGATGAAAGTAATGAAAATCTTGATTTAGAAATTAAATTTTGAAATTTTTTTTCGAGAAACCTTTTATAACGTATTTTTGATGAAATTTTGTAGGGATTAAAACATGTCGTGTTTTTTTTATAGGAATCAAAAATAAAATTTGGTAATTTATAGGGATCAAAAATATATTTAACCCTTTTATTTATATCATTTAAGGATTGAACATCTCATTCTTTATTCTTTAGTTTAAAATATTTGTCCTTTTTTTTTGGGTTTTTGCATTGTTTTCCAATCTGCATAGTTAACCGATTAATTCGGGTCGTGCTATTGAGGCAAGTGCATTGACCAAACGTTTCTGTCAGAAATCGACCCCGATATTCTTCGAGTGTCGTCTTTTGCAGAGACTCGTTTGTCACTCGAGCCTAAGCGCTTGGTTTCACGCTTGCCAATCATTTGCCTTTTTGGTTGCACGCAGAGGCGAAGCTTATACCAAAAAATGTACGAAAAAATTAATGATAAGAAATATGATAATATTACTTAATAAAAATGTACTAGTATTTCAATTACAACTCAAAAATAGAAAACATTCTAGTTTAATCGTAAATACATTATTCTCTTGTTCATTCCTTGGAAACGCTTGATGATATCCATATCATTGATTGTATTAAACACTTCTTTCCCCACAAATGTCACTAAGTAATCATTTAGCCATGGATTAGCCATTCTACTTCTCAACTCATTCTTAACATATTTCATCCCCGAGAATACTCGCTCAACACTTGCAGTGGTCACCGGCAAGGACAAAGCTAGTTTGGCAAGTGTGTACACAAACCTAAATGTTTTATGCTTCTTTATTCAAACAAGAGTCCTACAAAGTTTCGAGATGCCAGCCAAATTGGAAAAGTGATCGTCTGTCTTGACACTCTCAATATAAGTCTCCAACTCACTAGACAATTCCTTATCTGTAAGATCCTCAAAGTCATTTGGGTACAACCTTGCCAATCTCACAAGTGATTTAATGTCAAATGCTTCAAATGAATAACAAGGACTTAAACAAGCAACACAATTGATCAACTCGATATTTTCAGGTGTAAACTGATCATTCAACTCTTTCAATACCACATATATGACATGTAAGAAGCAATCATTCTTGAAATAATGAAAATTCGTAACAAAAGGAGCAATTTGTTTGGATTTCTTATCTTTCACATACCGAGACTCTATATCGGGAACATCAATTTCAACATTACCACAAGAAGCCACAACTTGCTCATAAAGTGTTTCCCATCCACCATCTCTAAATTCTTGTAACTTTTTCTTATATATTTGGACAAGTTCCATGGCATGCACAATATCTTGATCCCCCTTTGCAATGATTGTGACAAACTATTTATTAAAGATAAAATCTCAACCATTAAGTGCGACATAAACACAAAAGCAAAAGTTTGCATAACAAGTAACAAACTTTTTGGTTCACCCTTAGAATGACTATCACTTTATAAATTTTCTAACACTTCAATAATAGGAGTAAACAAATCAACCAACCTATTAAGAGTTCGAAAGTGAGATTCCAAATGTGTATCACCTGCTCTTGTAATGGACAACTCTTGATTTAAACTAATACCAGTTTCCACCAATTATTTTTTAATTAGATTTGCAAAATGAGCAACTTGTTTATTCCGAAGTAGAACTTGTCTTTTGTTAGGTGAGCGTAAGAAATTAACAATACGACACACTTAAAAAAAAACAATCAACATTTTCACGCTTTCTCGCCATTGAAACAAGATCCAATTGAAGTTGATGAGCAAAACAATGGACATAATAGGCTTGCAGATTTTGCTTTTGAATCAAAGTCTTCAAACCTCCAAATTGACCATGCATATTACTTGCTCCATCATACCCTTGACCTCAAATTTTAGATATGCACAACCCAAACCCCGACAACAGACATTCAAGAGCCCATTTAAGCGTTATTGCACTTGTATCCTCAACATGAACAATGCCAATAAATATTTCTATAACAAACCCTCTAACATCAACAAACCGCACTACAACAACCATTTGTTCTTTACTAGAGCAATCACCAGATTCATCAACAAGAATACAAAATAAACCATATCCAATTTCTCCAACTATCTTCTTAATAGTTTCAACTGCACATGCATTTGCAAGTTCTTTTTGAATAACAGGAGAAGTAATCTTATAATTTCCCCACCACTTGTTATTGCTGCAAATATTTTCTCACTATTTCTCCCTAAGGCTTCTACAAATTCTAGAAAATGACCCTTATAAATAGAATTTTCACCCTCATTATATGCCCTAAATGCCAATCCGCCTCTAACAAGATATTTTACAGCCTCAAGTGATGCTTTTAAACAAACTAGATAATCTACTTCTTCTTTTAAACTATATTTTGCATACGAAAACTCAATACTCTGATTTTTCTTCATAAGATCCTCACATGCTTTCACACACTTTTCATGATGACTATTTGGTTTCTCACCAACATGTTTATTCAACTTATGCTTTAGATTCCAACCTTTAAAACCAGGCACCACAAATGTAGAACTACTAGTACCTTTGTAGCACACATAACAAGACAAACAAAAAACAACATCTTTTTCTACACTATATTCCAACCAATCACACTCTTCATGCCAACTATGTTGAAAAGAATGATCCCTTCTCCCAATATTTGTGGATTCATATTCAGTTAATTTAATTTTACATGGCCCATCCATAAGGTAAACTCTTCTTACCTCATCTTGATCATTTGGATGATACTCACGAATTTGACTTCTTTTTCCAAGTTCGTCTCCAAATAAGCCCTTTTTTTAAACACCTTATATGAAGAATGAGGTTCTGGTTGTACGTCATTTAAAGAGAGGACCAAAGAAGGTTCTTCGGGCTGCCCATTTGAAGGAGCAAGCTTCTTTGGCTCTGGAAATCTCGGTTCGTGTGTAAAGTATTTGAGCAACATTTTATAATCACGGTCAAAATCCAATTAATTTTACAATTCAAAATTTCAAATCACAATTATAATTACAAGTCACAATTAATTCACTTTTTATAGTTCTATTGCACATCATGAAAATACTACCCCAATAAAGTATCGAGAATATCATATACAATTTTAGCCTATGATATGAATTATTGGGCTGAAAATCGACCAATCCATGAATTTATGTTAAATTTAAAAATAATATATTTTCATATGAAAATGATATTTTCTTTTAAAACTATGCTAAAGTTAAAATATAATATTCAAAAAATATAAATTTGTCATCATAATACATGTAAAACATGAAACAAACATAGAGCATATAAGGTTTGGATTCTATATAAATAATTCCCACTATAGATAAAAAGAATCAAGAATGGAAGTTGTTATTTACATAGTTTTCTTCACAAATCAGTGATCAAAATTCACAATTCAATCACAAAATTCCATAAAGTTTCAATGGATTCAACTGGGTTGAATTTGAAATTGAAAATGAAATCACCATTATCACATGGTTTCAATCAATGGATTCAACTAAGTTGGATTGAAAAATTGAAAAATTGAAAATAGGGAAACTTACAGGGTTACGAGAGTGTTGAAGAAGGTACGGGCTTTATCCAGAAGCAAGGCGATTGGTGAACTTGTTGGAATGAGATATTGTTGCGGTTGCTTCCTTGGAATGAGAGTGTTGTTATTTTGTTAAACTTAAAAGTAACAATAACAGTAAAAAAAGGATTAAAAGAGGAGAGGGTAAATTGGTAAAAAAATTATTTAAAAAAAGAGAGTATTCCAGAGAATACCCTACACCCCTTTGGATTCGTCACTGGTTGCACGTTTGGTGCTCTACTCATGTCTACAACAATACAAAATAATACCATCTTGATAATTATGTTTGGCTTTACAAAAATCAAATTGATTCTTGAGGCGAAAATCGATTCCTCAAAAATTTGGTGAATTAATTAGTTCATACTAGTAGTACTTAGTACTTTAGGTTGACTAGACATAAAGTGTCATCTAGTTAGATGAATACTTTTAGGTACTGGTGTAGGTTTTCATATGGGAGACCATCAAGCTGGTTTTGATGCACAATCTGCAATAAAGTTGGTTTCAGTTCAAAGTTATGAGCTGAGATAGCAGGGTTAACTATACTTGAATGAGGTTATTCATTAGAAGGTAAGGCAAAGTCCTTAAGTGGATTTCGATCATTTTCTTTTGCCATTGCTCTCCTGATTCATTGTAGAAAAAGTCGTGCATGTGTGTATCTCTCTGGTTCTTTTATTGGATCTTCTAAAGTTCAGGTACTACTAGTTCTTCACATTTATCGAAAAAAAGGGTGCCTTAATCTAGACAGTGTAACAAAAAGGTTACGATATTTGACGAAATTAGTCCCCGACAACGAAACCAAA